CTGACCAAAAGACCGAAATACACCACAAAAGTTTAATACGGTCTATCTTGAGGATTCTGGAAAACTCATCGAATTCAAGGTAGCTCTCAACATTAGACTCCAGGCTTTTCACGATCTGCTCAGTGGAAATGAAAATACCATGGAGAACATCTGGAATGGGATCGGTCAGCCTATCATGAGCTTCTGAAGCACAAAGGCCACCATAACAAGGAATGGATCACTGTTGATACTCTACTCCGGATAAGATTCAAGAAAGAAAGAACAGGAAGGCAAAAATCAATATCAGCTGAACAAGAACAGAGAAAGCCAAGGCACATGCTGAATACACAGAAGAAAACAAGCAAGTGAAGAGGAGCATCAGAGTCGATAAACATAAACATGTGGAAGATCTTGCGATGACCTCGGGAAGGCTGAAAGAGAAAGAACTTGAGACATTTATACGATACAACAAAGAAACTATCGGAAATCAGAACGACCAGCGAACGGCAAAGAAGGCAAAGAAATCACCAACATTGAAGAGCAGCGTAACAAGCGGGTAGAGCACTTTGAGGAACTTCCAACGACCAACACCAATGAACTCACTCAAAATTGAACCCGCATCCACGGACCTCACAATCCATTTTCTCCCACCAAAATTGAAGAGATTAGCGTGGTCATCAGCAAAATCAAGAGCGGTAAATCAGTGGGTTCAGACAACATTCTCGCTGGTGCATTGACAAGACACGTGACAGCGATTGCAAAGGTACTCAAAATTCTCGCCAACAAGATTTGGGATAAAGAACAATGGCCGACAGACTGGAAGGAGGATACTGATATGCCTGAATGCTAGTACGAGTTCACCTTACTCCGTAAACGGCACGAAGGTCAACGATACAGTGACACAATGGACTATTCTAATCAGTTGTCCTAGGCCCTGCTTACTAGATCAAGAAGTCTTGATAAGGCAAAGAGAATGTATTATGTAAGCACACAGAAAATACGAGGTGTCTAAACACACAAATCAAGCTTATTTATAAATGACAGATACGCTGTAGGGATAGCCAGAAAATAGCGTTCTAATATAATCCATCAACCAAGGATTTTCCGAAGGGGAAGTGTAAGTTTGAGGTGAACTAAGCATCTCTGGCGCGAAAGCGTGGAAATTCAAAATTACAGAATAAAATTACAAAATTAGGACCTTCCCAAGTGAGTTCTGGGGATATAACGTCACTAGCAGATGCCTGATCAAAATACCAAAGAAAGGTGATCTCAGAAATTGTGAGAACTACAAAATCATCAGTCTTCTCTATACTAGACAAAGTCTTTAACAGGGTGTTATTAAACAGAATTAAGGAATACGTAGACCTATGGAGCAAAACCTTCAAGAACTACGAAATCCATTATCCAGAAAATACAATTGTTCATTAACAGTTGACTACGCAAAGTACTAGTTATCCGTTTCTTAGATACAACTAGCGACAATCTACTGAGGGAAAAGGAACAAAGGAAAGTCAAATAAAACACATTATACCGAGAAATGGAGACAAACATTAGATGAATGAACGAAAATTGGACAGAACTGGAAAAGAAGACCCTGAAGATTGAAGAATGCTGGTCGACAGCCTATGATCCACTGGGGCTAACAGGAGAAAGTAATTAAAAGGCCTGAATGTCCTAGGTATGAGCCGTAATATTTCTGTGGATGTTTACAGGTGAACAGCCCCATACTAAGTTGAAGCGGTTATCTACTGTCCCATAATTTTCATCGATAGACCAGATGAAATTAATCTTCGGAAAATATCACTTTCAGATGATTCTATCTACCTTCAACTATCAAAACATACAGTCTGGTTACTTAGTATCATGAACAATACTTCTATTCGAATAACCTTAATTTTTTGCAGAGATATTGTGTATGTATGTCAAACGAATAGATAATCACAATTTACATTAGGATTATATCATTTAACAGATCAAGGAAGCATAGTAAAACATATTTGGCAGATACAAAGCAATAAACCTATGAAATTAATAGAAACAATTTCCAATTTCTTATATCTTGCAAAGTCAAAGCTAATAAATTACTTAATGACATGATATCAATTGAAATAGGATGTCAAAAAATACTTCATAAATTTTATATTCCATTGTAAGCTATAAAATTTATATTTTTTAATAGTTTCAGTTATTTTTTGTTCAGTATTTTATTCTGATATTCGTCAAGAAAAGAAGAAACAAAAAACATTTCAAACTCACATCGATTAAAAGCTTCTATTTCATTTTATGTATGTAAAGAGAGTGAATTAAATTAAAAATAGTAATTTATGTAATTAAAAGTTAAGAAATTAGTGTTATAATTAAAAAATATATACAATTTAATATCAAAAATGCCAGTCATTGAAATAAAATTCAATTGTTGATTAACTAGTATGTTCTTTACTTTAGCTATATATTTTGGAATTCTACAGTGACAAGCAATTTTAAGGTATATGAACCAAAAAAAAGGTTTCTAAAAACGAATTAAACCAGTAGTCTACTGCTTCGTGTTTCTTATTAGTGAATGATTCACTGGATGAGCTAAACACTAAACATTTTCACAACTCTTGACATGATCATCATTTACACGGTGACATTATTCCTTTACATATGAAGTGTACCGTCCAGTTTAAAGTAAAATTCACAATAGGATTCATTTACTACACTCTCTTCAGATGTCATAATCAAATTACGTTTAATAATTCAACTTAAATTAATAGTTTCATAACTCTTAATAATTTAATTCATTAGATACATATAGCCCGACAAACTTTTGATAACTTCTGCCGCAGACAACTCATATGAACCATCTTTCTTGTTTGCTAATGAAAGATAAGCTTCCTATGTGACAGTTTAATCAGTATTAATGTACAGCCGTGAAGCACGACCAAAGATATCTTCACTTATAATGTGGTCAGTAAATTTCGGGTTAGATATAGGATTCTAGATAGAAACAAGGATGTATGACATAAATTCCAATCTCTATTTAGTGAGTGTGTAATGGGAATAAGCTTAAGATGAGGTTGGAAATACGTACCAATGCTAAAAACTATTCATTACTAGTCTCAACCGTTTGAATCTTCATAAAGTTTTCAAAAACATAATTAACGATTACAGATGTAAATGTTTACATTTAGACTGAAAGTTATTTTGTTTGAATGCAATAAATATTCGCTTACTTTTCATAAATGAATCTATGGAATAATCATATTGACAAAAAAGAGAACGTTATATTGTGTATAAGAATATGATTGTTTAGCCTAGAAAAGATATAACTTAATGAAATAACACAATACTCCCTGGACAATACAACATGTGATGATACAGTGAGCTTCATTTTTATTAAGATCCAGATCAAAATCAACACAAAATAATTTAACAAATAACATATCAATCCATTGCCTAATTCAAAGAATTTTATCTAAGATATTAGTGAGAAAATATCGTATAGCATATTGATTGCAACCAAAATTGACATAAAATGTGAAAAACCTAAACCATTTGATGAAAAATGAAGTAATTCAATTCAGAATAACAAATGATTGCCGATTTTCACATTGAAAAACTAAACAAAAGACATTCTACAGCACACTCCTACACATACACACACACATAAAAAATGAACAAACAAGCATAAACATGAACCAAGCAATTCAACTGACCAGACCATTTATATCAACAATACCGAACAAAATCAATTACATGTAGTACCTTCTTTCTTAACGACCGGTTTCGGCATCCAAATCTCCAGAACTAAGAAGAGAAAACAAAATTCAATTTCACAAGAATTGATCTGTTATAAGATATTTACAGTGAGAGTATTCAGGTTTATAAAATAGATGTATATATTTTTTGGTATGATAAATAAGACATTAGTCACTGATACAAAACCAATCGTTTAGCGTAATCGATGAAAAGAAGATTGTCAGTACTCACAATAACTAATCGACAATTACGAAATAAGTGTCATAAATTTACAACACAGATAAAACAAACGGTGAAAAATTGCCAACATTCGACCCATAATATAAAAATGTAGCAACGATCTCTTCAGCAAAACTAAACCAAACATGATGTCATGAAAACAACCTTGAACACTAATTACCATTGATCGATGATGAAAATAACCATAGTTAGAATATGAACTTCGAGGAAATCCCGAAGTACCATAGCATTGGCCAACAAGTTTACGATCATACATTTTCAATGATAATTTTTAAAATACATTGTACACTACACTCACATGGACCATGATGAATCA